ATATTTTTAAATGATTCAGGTAATTGGCTTTGCAAATCTTTCTTGGATGTAGTCATTCAAAAGTAACGATTTTACATATAAATACAGAAGATGTATTATGAAGGATATTTACAATTACAGACATTTGACATTTCCCTACATTTTTGCCTATTTAAACATTGCTCATATCTATGAGTGTGGCTCTCAATTATGGTAAGGGAGTGTATAAATGCTTTAATCTAAATATCTAAGTTCATTATGGGTAAAACCTCAGTAAATAATTTCCACTTACACTATTAAACATATCTTAATGTGCAGTTATAGGGTCATTACATTTTAGTGACTCAATAACTATAGAAACGCATATCACTTTCTAGCATATATATGGAGGATACTGTAGATTGCTTACCCTCAGGCCATCTCATCTCTGTACCCAGAACTTCAAATTAGCTTGAATATCTAGTGGCTTTGGGCTTCAGAGGAGATTATGCCTTTAAGTGGGATGAATCTTGGATAGTCTAACCCAACCATGATAATTCCATTGCCTTTACCAAGAATTATTTTGGAAATGTACATGTGATCCAATTCTGGGTAAAATGCAATAATTTCTCTTAATTGTAAGGAGAGAGACAAGGAAAACAGGTATTATAGATGCTGCTGTCAGAATATAAAGCTTGAAACTTCAGCAGCCATTTTGAGATTATTAATGGAACTAATTTAAAGAAATAACTAACATTCTAAGGATAGTAGAGCATAAAACGAAAAGAACCTGGATCAACATTGTCCGTGAGAAGATGAACAAATCCTGATATTACCCCATTTCTGAAAAACTTACTATGAGAGATAACAAATGACCTTTCTGGTTAAGCCATCTTTAATTGAGGTGGGTTTTTATTTTTGTTGTTGTTATTACTGTGTATTTTCTGCAGCTGAAAGCACTCTGATACATGATTATCTCTTTTCTCTGTTTCCTTGCACTGTAGGCCCTTCTGTTCTCCATAAAGGCCATGGCTCTTCACAACTGACATTTGCTCTTATTTTGTCCTGCTTAAATATTCCATCACTCATTTCTCTGTGTAGTCAATTTTGCAAATCCTACTCAGCGAAGCCTTCTTTGTTAGCCCATTTATAGTTAAGTCTTTGATGTGATGTTATATTATTTTTTTCCAAATAACACATTATTTGTGTATTTTCTGTTTCACCTCACAGATTTCCCCAAGGGTTTCAGTCTATGATGTAGAAACATTTATCCTTATATCTCTAGCAAAGCAACTTGATGTTTGCGATATTTTTTCTTATTGACAGTTTTCATCGGACATTTGCAGAATTATTACGAATAATAGAATTACTACTTAGTTACTTTATTGTTCTTTAGAACACTTTTAAATTGAACTTCTTATTAGCTAAATATATCTTTTATAGACATCTTATATTTTTCACTTTATTAGGTATTTCATAAATACTTGTATTTCAAGAAACATAAGGATAGTATATGCTTTATGATCAGCGCTGCTTCTGAAATGTTGCATAGGGAAAGCTTCTATATTAAAATTAACTAATTTATTAATTAAACAAGTATTTCTTGAGTATCCTTTCTGTCTCTAAAACATAGAATAATAACCAAGAGAAGAATTAGAAGCAAAGCACGGATGTATCATTAGGATATGCTTTCTATTTTCTCTAGTAAAAAGATTAGATTATATCAACTCTAAGTAATTGCCCTTATCTAATAACATTTTTTTAAACCACTAAATTTAGTAATAAAATAGCAGGTTTTTTTTTAATTATTACATGATAAAGCCATGAGGGAATGGAACAATGATTCTCAAAGTTTAGAACGTTAGAATGCATAAGAATCACAGATATGTATCGTCTAGATTGCAGATTCCTAGCATCCATGTCCCCAAATTCCAGAAATTCTCAGGAGCATTTATAACAAATCTACCAGGTGATCCTGATGCAGATAATTCCAGTTTTAATTTGAGAAAGAGTGGACTAAGAGATTAGTCTAGACATGGCTGCACTCTCTCTTTCCCTACTATGCATTTTTCTTCTCCTCTTATTCTTAGAGCTTCGGTCCACCAACAAAGCAGAAGAGTGTGGGGACAGAGCAAGGACCATTTCCTTAAGCAACTTCACATTTCTGAAGCAAGATGATTGCCCCCTTTATGATAGTTTTGGACACTTCTCTTTAAAACACAAACTGGCACTGGTTTCTTTGGGTGATGAGAATTTAAGTGCTAACCTCTACCTGCGCTGTATTAATGAGGGAAATCCAATTATGGCTAAATCTTTTAATATAGGTCCCAAACATCTGGCCTCTATCAAGAAAGGTCCACTCACAACTTACTGGCAGTTCAGTGACTTAACAAATGTCAGATAAAGAGCAATCTTCCTTTTAGTAAAATGAAGACATAGGGCAGTTAAAGCAATTTTATCACTATTGGAAGGACGAGAAATAGGCTAAGAGGCAGGAGCAACGCCCACCCCACACACGTACACATTAACATAAGAAGGGAGAGAGAATGAATGTTGACACTCTAGCAACTCTGTATTTCCCAAGGTGACTTCATCTCCTTGTAATCGTTTTTATTAATGTCAGTGAAGGCGGGTTAGTACCAGTTTGGATAAAATGACAGCACTCTGCAAGGCAGTTTTGGGCCCCTCAATAGAATTGCTCTGGAAATGGAATATGGGGTAATTAGCACTATTTTTAATCATCTGGCCATTTACCATGTTTTAGGAGAAAGGAAGGATTCTGTACAGCTTTTCATATCTATGTTATATTTATAAATATTGTTTGTGATATTCTCCAGCTGTAAGGACTACAAATCTGGTTCAAGAGATTTTTTTTTAAGAACTCACACACACACACACACACACACACACACAAATATATATTTCTTGGTGACCTAAGGACAGAGGCTGAGCCCAGATGTTCCTCACTGGGCCTATAAGTGGGAAATGATGAGGATTTAGGTAACGAAGCTTCTTTCTCTGTCTCTAAGAGGCTAAAAATTCTCTTAACATTGTTTTGTGACATCTTTTTAAAATCCCCCCTATCCTTCTCTCTCTTTCTC